TTCTTCGTGACTTGCCTAAGCTTCTCATTTCTTTTCATTTTCTTTCAACTCTCTTATCATCCAAACAAATGCAAAAGGCTTTAACTTTTTGCTTAATGTGCAATCAAGTTAAGTCGTAAACATTTTGAATCACGCGCGATTAAGTTCTTCCGATTACCATTCAATCGAATTTTTTGACATTGCATATCAGAGTTAACATCACGTTTTCTGATAGTCTTTAGCATATGTGAAGCTGACATGGTGCTGATCTGGCGACGATGTGGTGCCATATAATATAAAGTAAAAAAGCGAAAAAAAAAAAACAAAAGAGCGAAAAAAAAAGTTGGAGGAAAATTAAAGAAAAACTCAAAATGAAGATCCCCGCTGTCCCCAAAGCTTCAAACACCCTGACCCAGGGCACGCGAAAACACCTCCCTGCCCGCTGCACCCACACACTCTCGCTCCCTCTCGTTGATTTTTCTTCTTCTTTTTTTCTTTTAATTTTTGGTTTTATCTAACTTCTTTTTTCATTTTATGCCATTTTTCTCTATTTTTTAGTTTGATTTTTTTCTCCATTTGCCATCGTCTTTGCACATCATCAATACCACGTATGCTAAATAAAAATTATTATTAACGCTATGCCGGTAATCCGAGATGCAATGTCATCAAATTTAATCGAGAGCTCGTCGGAATGACCAAATTGCACCCGACAAATTATGTCTGCCAATTAATTGTACCTTTTCAAATATTAAGGACTCCATTGTATAGCGGGCAAAATGTTTAGGATTTTTGTGCAATTTGCCCCTTTTTCCCCGATAGATATCCTAAAAAGAGTTTTTGCTTTCAAAAATGAAAAGGCTGTCTTTCCTCACAGGTTCCTCCTTGAAAGATTTCAAATTCTACAAAGCCTTGAGGTATTATGCAATTCCTTGGAAGCTATATTTCTAATGAAGGGCTTGTTGACTAGGAAAACGATCCGGTGCTTGAAAATTCGAGAGAACTTAAGTTAAGAAAGTTGCACAACAAAAAATGTGCGTGAAGAGAAAACTATTTAGTGAAAAAATTCTTCAGAGTATCAAAACTTTTAAGGTTTGGGATTGTCCCGGTTTGACAATGCTATTTCTAGCCATGACGTCCTTTCATAATTGGACGAAGTCAGCGGTGAAGAATTTCTATAGATTGGTACATCTAGTAACATTTTCAGTGGTCACAATTTATGCAACTCACTCGAATGACTATAATAGGATGTGAAAGAATTTAGAAGTAGTGGCAAACAATGGATATGAAGAATGGAAAGTGATTTCTCTTCAAAGGCTAGAAAGTTTGGGACTACAGCATCTGCAAAGCCTAGCATGCTTCTCTTCCACCACAAGTTGCATCTTCTGTTTTCCATCCTTCTTTGAAATTGAAGTGGAAGAGTGCCCGAAAATGAAGATCTTTTCTGAGGGTGCGGTAAGCACACCAAAACTATATTATGTGAGACTATTCATGTACTCTGCTTCTCAAATTGTCCAACACCTGAAGCACCATAATTCCTAGACTGTTCATCTTTCTAACTTGTCTGGTCACTAATAAGAGGGAAGGGCTGGTGCTGCAAGTGGCGCGGAGATCCGAAAACAACTGAGGCGCAGTCAAAGGTTGGGATGAAGAAGATTTTTATTAAGGTTAGTGATTCCATTTTCAATTTCCCTCTTTCTCACTAATAACATCCCAGTCTTGCAAAACAAGGGTACAAAAGTGGTCCGTACTCGATAATAAATTGATAAAGTTTGGCAAGTGAATAAATGGCCTCTAAAATGAAATCCGATTGCTAATTGACTGATCATTAACGTGCTAATCAAGAAAATCCTCTGTCATGTGACCAAAAGATAACAGATAGGTAAATAACATAATTTTCTCACCATTTGCCACCTCAGCATAACTGCCTGCAACACACCATCCTCATTTTCTCATGACTTACCTAAGCATCTCATTTCCTTTCTTTTGTCTTCAACTCTCTTCTCATTCAAAAAATGGAAAGTGTTGATCCATTCTTTTCTTTTCTTCTCTTTGTTCGGAAATTGAATGAAGAAATCTTCGACCTTTTGCTCAATCTGCAATCAAATTTTGAGATTCCGAAAAAATCGTAATCAAGTCATAAAAGTTTTGGATCGGGTGCAATCAAGCCTTTCTGATGATCACCCAACCAACTTTGTTGATGTGGTACGCCGGAGTCCATCTTCGTGTTTTCAAATAGTTTTTAGCATATCTAGTACCAATGTTGTGTTGATGTGGCTCCCACTTCGTAAAGAAAATGTAAAAAAAAAAGCCAAAAAAAAATTAAGAGGGGAAAACGCCAAAATATAAAATACAAAAATCAAAGAAATCAAAATTGGAGATCACCGCCGTCCCCAAACCTTCAGACACCCTGGCCAGTTGCACTTCCCCTCTTCCTTGTTTCTTTTTCCCTCCAACTTCTTTTTCTTTTTTCATTTTTTTGGGCCTTCTTTTCTTTTTTATTTATTTTATTTTTTTCTCCAACCGCGATATCATATGAGCACCACATCCATCCTACACATACCAAAAATTATCGAAAATGTCACATTGGTTTACCGATGTACGGTATCATCAAATTTGGTCGGTAGTTCGCCGGAAAGATCAAATTGTACTCGGATGAAACAGTTTGGTAATTAATTGTGCCATTTTAATTGTTAATGACTTAGTTGTATGACAAGCATAATATTTAGGACTCTCTTTGGTTCGATTTATCCTCCCTTTTTTCCCAACGGATATCCTACGAAAGAGTTCAAAAAGAATAAGAAAATCGACTTTGCTGTGTTTAAGCACTAGATAAATATTGATGTCATTAGTCAATCAAGAAGAATGTTTGATCTCTGCTGCACATTACGGGTCTGCATAAGTAGACGTACCGTTTACTTTTCAAGTCAAATAGGAGTTGGACTTCTATCGGAAAGGTGGTTCTTAGGGATTGTAGTGGTGTTTCCCCATTACTTTTCAAAATTGTTTTTGGTTGTGGTCTCCCAAATTGTTCAATGTCCCCCTTAAGGGTTGGCTAATAGATTACCATGCATACACTTAACTCAGGCTCTCTCAAAACCATATCAATTTGCAACTTGAATCAAGTTATTTAACTTGGTTTGAAATAACACACTCAACGGCAAACTCCTGTGATGTTTTATTACTATAAACATCAACAACACAACCAACATTATCTCAATCTAGAATTGTCCTTCTTCAGGTTTGCCGAATCTTGTTTCACATGTTTCAGTTATGCTTTGACTTCAATGTCTACTGAACAACCATCGTCCTCATTATGGTTCGACATTAGTTCTTGTTTGACATTGCTTTGGTGAAAACTTTTGCACACACTCCTTGTTAGCTGCTTTTTGCATCAACCCAATAAAAATAAAACTGTTTGCGGGAAATTTGGCTATAAAGAAAATTAGGGCCCTTTAAAAAGAAACTTATTGATAAGATTAAATTTGACAACTACTCGAATATAAGAAGAAATTCTCACAATAGATGGCAACATATCATCACCTTTTACTCGACCTAAAATTTGTTAAGAAATCCATATCATTCGACTAAATGATATATATCATAAAAAGAAAAGGATAATCTTTCTCTTCTACATACCTTTTTAGTCCTCAACTCATTCAACAATTTGAATGAATCTCTCAGTATATAAAGGTGTTGCACTGGTTCATCTCAATATATCACTGCACTAGGTCACAAAGTTGTCAAGACTCATTGAGAGAGAGAGAGAGAGAGGCTAAGAATAGTTTAGGTGGGAATAGTCATGGTGATAATATCATCCAAGAGAATGGGGTCAATGATGCTCGTGGCGGCTCTAATAATGTGGTCATCCGTCGGTGCCGATGCTGACGCGCAAATACTTTTGTCACGCAGGTGGAAGTGTATATTCCATTGTTGGTATCGACCTGACCCATTTGGATGCTTTCACAGTTGCTATGATCGTGTAGGAGGGTCCTTGACATTCACGGCATCAGAGCATTGCGATGTCGGTTGTTTCTTATCTACTTGCCTTGCCTACCATCCAGGTAATAATCTTCACATCGAGATCGCAGATATAACGTAGCTTCTTATGAGATCCATAAAATCAAGGAACTCATTGTATAATCTTGGTTTCTTTATCAGTGTTTCATTGATATATTTTAATTACGAGAGGATAGTTGAATACTAAATCATTTCATTTCCTTAGACTTCGATAAAAATTCAATTTCAATTTTGATGCGAGTGGCTTTTTTAATCTCTTGTTTCATATTTGAACTCATGTAGACACCAAGAAAGTTGGACCGGACGTGAACAAGGTTGGAGCTTGTGCGGATTCATGCTCTCAAAGTTGCCAAAAGACTTATTCATTACACTAAAGTCATTGAACTTATGTAATGCTATGCGGTTTCATTGCTCAACTAATAAAAAGTTCCGTATTAATTTTCTACTTGACCGTGAGTGAAGTACATTTCTATGAAATTGCAATTATGCTAAAATGGGTATACTCTCTATTATTCGGAATTAGATTATGAGATATAAATACAAAAGAAAAGGTAATCTCTACGGGATATCGAAGTGAGCTTTATCATGCCTCTTCGGAGTCGTGTCAAATGTCTTCATATGCAATCAATGTTTCAAGATTTGCATAAGATTGTCAATCTCAGGTAAAGACATGACATGAGAGCATGACACGGTGATGCTGCCAGCTAGACAAATGAAATGATACGTATGAGCACGTGTTTAGCCCGAAAAGAAAATAATTATATATATCATTCACAAAAGGTTCTCTCTTTGTGAAATACTTTTGGACGGGGACATCAAATATTTTATGGTCACCCGTTTAATACAACCTAAAATCAGGGAAAAAAAGTCTCTCGTCGTAAAAGCTGATGTTCTCCGATCACCTTTTGTCGTGACGTTCGAAACGATTCTCCGATCACCGTTTCTCTCTCCCTCCCTCTCTCTCTCTCTCTCTCACTCTTTTCAAATTCCACCACCGCACGCCTCTCCAACTCTCTCCCTCTCTCTGCGAGCACCACGCATCCATGGAGACGGCGCAGAACGGACAAGCCGAAGCGGAGGCCGCCGCCGCCGCCGCCCGCGACGGCTCGATCTGCGGGCACGAGTCGCTCGACCGCCTCCTCCGCGACAACCTCAGTCCCCAAGTCTTTCAGGTCTTCGTTCCTCGTCGCATCTCGCCTCCTCATCTGAACTGTGTGATTTTTCATAACCTGATTAAACATAGAGAGAGAGAGAGAGACGAGGGTCGGTGTCGCTTGATCGATACTGGCTGGCAGTAGCAGTATCAGGTCGATTTGAATCCTCGTCACTATAGATCGGATTTTTAAACCCGAGTGATTAAGGAATTTGAGGTTGATTTCGTTGAATCAGCAGAATTAAAATCGACAAAAGTTCGCTTTTTGGAAGGTATTCTGGCGCTAGTACTTTTTCTGTAAAGCTCGATGATGTTAGCATCTACAGATTTCGAGTTGGTGATAATCAGGAAAGCAAAGGCTGCACGATGAAGGATTGTTGTGGTAAGATGTGGGAAGGGGTTTGACTTATTGATATGAAACGCGCCGATGATGTGGTATGATGGTAGTATTCTGTGGTGTTCTGTTTACTTTATCTCTTCGCTCAGCTTTTTCCAAATTAAACTGATGGAAGAAATTGCACGAGTTGAGTCGGCTTTGCTGTGTTCCAGTTCCTTAGATATATATTTACTCTTCAGAAAAGTGGATCTTAGGGATTGTAGTGGTGTTATTCCTATACTTTTCACGATTGGAATGGTTGTCGCCTCCCGAAACGTACGACTGTCCACTTTTTAAGCACAAAAAAATTACAAGAAAGTAAGGATAGACAGCTTAAAAGTCTTATTATAGAAAGCTGGAGCTGATCAAGTAACTTCAAGTCCGAATGGATTTCAAATTAACATGGATCAACCGCCCATGAACATATTTGTTGAGACAACTGAAATGACTCAGCAATTAGCATGTCTGTGGATGGTATGCAGCCTCGGTTTTTTCTCAACGAAAATCTACTTTTAGCTGGAGACAGAAGGATTTCATAACTGATTTTCCACAATTCGTGGTTGCTATTTCTATGTATGCCATTTGAAGAAGGCTTTATAGATAAGGCTTGAAAGAGTAATTGTATTTCTTGCCAGTGTTTTGTGCAATTTGTTCACTAGACTGTGCGTGCCTGAACATGTTGAAGAGGAATTTCTGAGTGACATTTTTTTGGGGGTTGGAGTGGACAATAGTGACAATCTTAATGAATTCTGTTGACAGGAGAATGTTATCTCTTTGACACGTCTTAACATATCTTCTCTACCTTCATTGAGAAATTGAATTATAATTCAAAATTACCAGGAGCTGTGCCTTTCATCTTCCTAAAATGTCAAAAATTCAAAGCATGTCATTCCATTGTGATACGATCTTACTTTATTGTTAATGTATTATGATATTGATTTCAGGAAGTCAGTCGTTTACTTATAGGACTGAATTGTGGAAGGACTCTTGAAGCTGTTCCTCTAGTGGATTCTGCAAAAGCTCTCTCATCTGAATGTAATTTTGACATACAGGTGAACCTGTGTTTGCTGTTTTTCTGCTGCTTATTGGACGTGGCAATTTAAATGCTGTTGCTAAGAGTGCTGGTCACACTAGGCTGCACTGTTTCATGGCTTCAATACCATTTGGCTTCAATACCATTTGGTTGGAATTTGATAAGGACTCACTAAAAATCAAATAGGTTCCTTATGTGAAACAGTTTTCTAGATAGTATGAAACTTGTCTCGTTAGCACATTCACGCTTGGTGCATAGGAGTGAAAACGCTTTTTGATGAACTTATCTCCTATATGAGCTAGCTTGGAAAAAGAAGATGGAAAGAAATAAGTCACATCATCTGAAAACTAAAAGTATCTCGGGCATTCAGTTTCAAGTGCCTCATGCCCCTTTGGCAACCATGTAAGACAAAGTTGCTTAACTCCACCCAACAAACACTCAATTTATGATTGCCTTAATCCAAGGTCACCACAATAGCCTATGGAGCAAGTTCCTTTAGAATTGCTTGGGTCTGAAAATGGGAGTTCAGGCCAACAAATGTTTGGAAGTTCTTGGAGGAACATGAGCGCATATCTTCCAATGTTTGCTCCTTGTTCTCTCTGCAAAGGGGCTCAGGGCGTTTCTATTTATAACTCGGTAGTCTGAGACATCTGCGATAGATGAAAGAGTATACACCGACTAATATCATGTCCCTGGGATTCATATTTATGGTCCTATTTGGGGAAATATTTGTTTAAAAGCAATGAATTGCAAATGTCTGGTCCAGATCTCCTTCGGCAATATTGAGAACTTATCAATAGGGAGGTCTTGAAGAGCATTGTCCTGGAAATGAGCTCTTCTGAAATCTGTTTTAGCATGCTAAGTTTTTCCATGAGATGGAAGGTGTGAGAAAATCTGACTTGTATAGTCTTGTACCATGTTGGGATTATATGGAGTTGGTGAACCAACGGAGTAGAGAAATGTGCAAAGTTTGAGGTAGTCAAATTATTCTAGTTGATTAAACTTGCTATCATGGAAGCTAAGAAGTACTCTTACATATTCTTTGTGGCGGTCATTATTTGTTAGTTGTTAATTTTTATTGAAAACCATTACCTTGCTTCCTGCATTTATTGGCAGGATCGTTTAATTTTTATTCATTCTGATTAGTTTTGTGGAATCTTTTGGATTAATTTATTCTGATTTTCTTTCAGGCATTTCGCTTTACAGCAGAAAAGGAGTTGTTAAGAGAACCGCAAGTTGTCAGAGTTGGACTTATTCAAAACTCTATAGTTCTTCCCACAACTGCTCCCTTTCTGGATCAGAAGAGGGCTATCCATCAGAAAGTAAAACCAATGATAGATGCTGCCGGTGCTTCAGGAGTGAACATATTATGCTTGCAGGTTAGTCATGCCATGAAGTTTGAGCTATACATTTTTGGTTTCTCCTTTTGGACTTGAAAGACTGAAGTTCAGCTGTTGAACTGAATAATCTTTATCTAGGAAGCATGGATGATGCCATTTGCCTTTTGTACGAGAGAGAAGAGGTGGTGTGAATTCGCAGAGCCTGTTGATGGGGAATCAACAAGGTTTCTTCAGGATCTAGCAAAAAAATATAACATGGTCATTGTTAATCCTATCCTTGAGAGGGATATAAACCATGGGGAGACTATCTGGAATACTGCTGTTATTATAGGCAATCATGGCAATATTATAGGCAAGCATCGAAAGGTAAGTGTAAATGTTGCAGGCCCCTATGTTTGATGTATCCCTTTGGGCTTGTCATATTGAAAAGCTTGATGATTGCATTTGGCAGAACCACATCCCCAGGGTTGGAGACTTTAATGAAAGTACCTACTATATGGAAGGAAATACCGGGCATCCTGTGTTTGAGACTGCTTATGGAAAGATCGCTGTCAATATTTGTTATGGTAGACACCATCCTTTGAATTGGTTAGCATTTGGCTTGAATGGTGCAGAGATTGTCTTCAACCCTTCTGCAACCGTCGGTGAACTTAGCGAACCAATGTGGCCAATCGAGGTATTTACAAATCCCTATCCTATGGATGATATACTGGACTTGTTGCTATGAATTTGTATTGGTCATTATGCTCTTCTTGATAGATTTCTGGAACCTCTGTGTTATGCTTACTGGCACAAAGGTTACCATGACATTTTTTTTTGCAAAAAAGGGAAAAGATTAGAAAATAGTAAGAAAAAACAACTTAAAGTCTTATTGCGCAAAGTTGGAGCTTATCAAATAATTGCAAATTTAAATGAACTGATTGGATTATCGCCTCAGTTAACTGTGTTTATTGTAAAATCAATTTGCAGGCCCGGAATGCTGCCATTGCCAACAGTTATTTTGTTGGATCAATTAATCGGGTAGGAACAGAAACATTTCCCAATCCATTCACATCAGGTGACGGGAAGCCACAGCACGCGGATTTTGGGCACTTCTATGGATCCAGTCACTTTTCAGCTCCAGATGCTTCTTGCACGCCATCGCTGTCCCGTCACAGAGATGGATTGCTGGTCTCGGACATGGATCTCAATCTCTGCAGGCAGCTGAAAGACAAGTGGGGGTTCAGAATGACTGCTCGGTACGAGCTCTATGCCGATATACTTGCTCAGTATCTGAAGCCAGACTTTGAACCCCAGCTCATATCTGATCCCTTATTGCATAAGAAGTCCTGTTAAGTTTCGCAATACTGTAAATTCAGGGATGACTTTATCCAAGCAATGTCTACTTTCTGGACTTCGGCACACGTGATGTCTGTACATATGTGTAGTGTATCGGTCAACGGAATTGGAAATGGATAATTTAATAATCCCCTCTTCTAGATCACTCTTGCATTAAAATGAATCGGAAGGGAACTCGATCATTCAAATGAACTTGTTTTCAACATGTCTATTCACCTGCGCATGAACTATAATAACTAAATTATGTACTCGTGAAATTCATTCCCTGAACCGCTAAGGACAACCCAGAGAGTTTAACTCTATCTGTAATGTCAATGTTGGTTAAGCTTGACAGGGTTCAATGTTACAAATTGCAAAATGGGCTTTGTCAAGGAATCAGTGTCCGGTGACTGTCAGTTACCAAATAGAGAAAATGTCGCTAAAAACTTTAAATTATATCCATTGTGACACTAATACTTTAAACTTTTTTCCATTTCACGGAATTCCCCCAACTTGTATCAACTATCAAGGACTCAAAAACACATTTGGTCATAGCTTCATTTAAAATTGCCATTAATAATTCTACTGACGTGCTTGCATGGCGAACGGCAGACAAAGAAGCTTATGCGGATCTGAAAAATTCCACTAAAAAGCCTAAGTTTTGTCCGGCGTGACACCAACATCTCGATTTTTTTTCATGTCACCAATATTGCCAATTTGTTCCATTTTAGATAGAACTATGATGGAGGATATTTTTGGGTCATTGGTACACTTTTAGAAATTTTCATGATACAAAAAAAGTTTAGGGTATTGGTGCCACAATGGACATAGTTTATAATTTTTTGTGATATTTTCTTTATCAAATTAGAGAGAAATTAGGGTTGGAGTAATTTTCCTTGTAGTGCGTGTTTCGGAGAACTAAATCTTTCCTTATATAATCATTGGCAACACCTTTCTTCCTTTTTCTTTTCTTCCTTTTACGGTGGTCTTACTACACTTGTAGCTTACTAGCTCGTAAAATCTAGATGAAAGATTCGTCCATGCTATCGACATAAACAACGATCACAACTTATTTTCTCCTTAATTAGAACCAAAACCTACCTATGAAAAGAGGGAAATTTTTGAAATTTTTGTTAGGTCTAAACAGAATTGTTGCCAAGATCGGGTGTCATTCATGTCTCAAAACTTAAACATCGATAGATTGACATTCTAATAACATGACATAGTTTTCTTTTTCTTTTTCACGATGATGGACTTGATTAGATTCCCATAATATTTCCAACCACAAAACGCACAATCTAGACATGATATATGAATATATGCAAAAAAATAAAATAAAAGAACACATAGAAATTAATCTATAAACTCAAATCCGACGAATAAAAAACAAGCAACTAAAGAGAGTTTTAGTAATCTTAGTAATTCTCCAATGAAGTGACGTGATGGTCTTTCGTCGGGTGTTGATTATTCAATGCAAGGATCGCACTTGTTTCAACATCCAATAAATGACTGTCACATCATTTAGTAAGAGAGTTTTAGTAAGGTTTCTTGATACTCATAACATTGTTTCTCACACTATTATAGCAACCACACGTTGGCATGCCGAGACGAGCATGGACGCAAAGGCATGACCAATACCACGGGGTCTTCCCAGATTTTTCCGCTGCACTGGGCCTCAGGTTGGACTTTTTCGGCGACGAGCGGGAGATCGGACTTGCCTCAGTCCTCAACCCGACTGTCACCTGATCGGATGGGCCACGGTGGGACGCTGATGGGCGGGAGATCGGACCCGCCTTGGTCCTAAAGCCGACCACCACCGAATCGCACGGGCAGCAGTGAAAGGCCAACGGTCCATCGCCCCTTTCCCTCTCCTCTGCACACTCTTCGCAAACAATGTAGCTGCTCTTCGCCCTAGTCAGATCTCCTTGCGGTTGCCTCAGCACTGTGGCACGGTTTGCCATCGCGTTCTCGGTCGTCGAGGCGAAATCCATCTTGCTGTGGGTAATTGCAATTTGATGACTGAATAATAGATGCAAAGAGTTGAGTGAGAACTATAGCATTCAATGTATCTATATATACTATTGTAATTCAAAGCGATCTCGAGTCTGAGTAGGTATTTGATGTAGAGTCTCTTTAGGTGTTCGACTACGGGTCTAATTCTAGTAGTGTTAGGAAACATAAAAGAACATGAATTAGTAATCCTTTTTATTTATTTAATTTCTTTTAAGTTGAAACTGGCAAGACAAAACTCTGAGTCAAACAAAAACAGTTTCGTATGAGGAAATCATTGTTCTTTTTTGTTTTTAAATCTGAAAAGAAGGAAATATGTCTTATCAAGTTATCATGCACTTGCATTATGTTTGATAATGGAAGAGAACACGAATTCCATTAAATTATCAAAATAATTTATATTTTTTTATCAGTATGAGCTATAGTTTATGAATTAACTAGCATATTTTTAAACTTTGAGAAATTTATCATCTTTTAATCATATCTCTCTCTCGTCAAGTAATCTTGTAGACTAACCTTTTATTTCGTTAGATTTATGGAATATATAATTATTGAATACGTCCCTTCTTATTCACATATTACGTGCATCTGGGTACTTTATTTTTTAATTTACAATCACGAGGTTTGATATTTACTCCTTGCTTTTTTTTCAATTGATTAAAACTTAGCTATTGATGATAAATTTTAATACCTTTAGTTTAGAGAGGTCTAACACGATACGATTATATAGTGATCTATATCCCCTTTTACGTGTAATGTGAGCGCGATGACTTAGATTTAATGCAGCTATGTATCGTTCAAATTTTAAATACAACAGCACGTAGAAACAATAGCAGATTCATTTTGTTAATGCGATATGCACGTTGAAATTAACGATGGTAAAGCAATGACCGAAGAAAATTTGTTTGAGGAACTCAAATCTGACGAAGTACACAAACTCAATCCAACGAGAATCGTATGTCTACTGTCTACGTTCGAACCCCAAGCTATATTTCAGCAACTACACAAAATCTCGAGCCGAGCATGGACGCATGGCCACCGCCAACTCCATGGGGTCCAACCTGTTCTTTCTGCTACTGCCGAATCCCAGCCAGGTGTTTTCTCCCGCGGGCAGGCGATCGGGCCCGCCTTGGTCCTGAATCTGACCATCACCGGATCGTTGCAAGCGCAACTGTGGAACCCTAATCCATCACCTCTTTCCCTCTCAGCCTCGCAGTCTCTGCAAAGCACGTAACCTGCCCTTCGCCAGCCCAGCACCCTCTCCTTCTTCGTGTTCATTCCCTTCTGGATGCCCTCGAAACCGTCCCGGCGCATTTGTGTTCCCCAATCTCTTTGCGATTGCTTCAGCATGACAGCGCGGGGCACCATCTTTTCACAAGTCATGGTTGCGAGACCCACCTTTGCCAGGGATTTAGCGACTTGATGACTGAGAGTTTGAGTGATGAGAGCACTGTAAACTCAGTGCATGTATATATATATATGATTGTGATACAGAGCGATCTTGAGCCTAAATGGGCAATACTTGATGTCGATCGAGTCTTAATTCTTCTTTTGGAAAGAAAACGTGAATAAAACCCCGTGCGAAACAAATATATCGAAGAAGGAAATCTTTCCTATTTTGCACTTACTGGTATTGTGGAACTTGACTTACTCTTTTTTTTTATTTCTTCTGTTTGATCTTTTATGATCAAAAGCTCACTTACTGACCTTTTTACACAGCGTTTTACATGAGGGTGCTTTTATAAAAATCACTTCTTTATGGGGTGATAATGATGAACAGTATAGTTCGGTTCGGTTCGAATTGATTCGAATTCAAGTCTAATCGAACCAAATCGCACTAAAAATGAATATAAATTAGACCAATCCAAACCCCGAAGCAAACCGCTCTACGATGTTTTTCTTCTTGTTTTTTTTTTTCGTTTATGCGGAATGCTAAATGACATTACCCACTTTCACATTTTGTTCCCAATCAAATCAATCATGCTCAATCAAGTAATGAAATTCGTCCACCCAAAGATAATAAACAAAATGGAATGATATCTACATTATTTGGATTTTCAAGACCAACGACAATCCAGAAAAGAAATATCTATCTTCCGAATACGGGACCAAAGTCCGAATTAAGCAAAAACCTAGGCAATTCAATGAAGTAAATAAGATCTCCGAAAAAGATTGCGTTCAATAGATCTATCTCCACATATATTCATAAAAAGTATGATTACTCCAAGAATCACTTTTTGAATCTTCATATGGGGCATGACACGAATGTGAAAGAGATGAAGTATCGCTTCGATGAACTCAAATCGAATCGGAATGAACCCAAACACATTTTTTTTGGGTCGAAGAACCCAAATACAATGAAAGTATCAAGTTTTGAATTTTCCGACAAGAACTATATATGTTCATGGATGCATTGCCACCCCGCCAATACCACGGGGTTTAACCAGTTCTTTCCACCGCATGTGGATCCGGGCCGGACTTTCTTGCTGATGGGCGGGCGATCGGACCCGCCTTGGTCCTGAATCCGACTATCACCTTGTCGTTTGGGCAAAAGTGAAACCCTAATCCATCACCCCTTGCCTTCTCTCTCTTGCAATCTTGGCAAGACACATGACCGGCCATTGTAACATGCTGTCGCAAACCCGACGGTATCGCCTTCTCCGGTGGCATCTCCATTACGTCAACATCCTTGTCCTCGATAGCTAGTTCGAGATCGTCATGGATTCTTTGCATCTTTTGGTCTCTTTCCGATTGCTTCCGCACGATGGTGCGGTGCATCTTCTTGCCGCGAGTTGAAACCCTCTTAGATGGTGAGGCCGACTTCATGACTGAGATTTTGGATTGGATTGTAGATGGTAAAATTCAAAGAGTTGAGCGAGGGCATTATCACTGTACTTATATTAATGTATATTGTAGTACTTCGATTTGGATATGGATAGAAAATATTTTCAAAGTTCAAATTTGGCGCTATTGATGAAATTATTGCATAGTTTATAGACCATGTAAACTAATACCATCTCGACCATTAATTATGTGGATTCCACAGTGGAGCCCATGTGATCAACGGTGGAGATGATTTTGGTTTGTGTGGTCTACAAATCAAGATAAAGTAGTTGTATGAGACTGTGACATAATAGTTAAGTATAATAAAATAGG